GAAGGGGCTGGAGAAGGGGCCGAGGGGTCAGTGCCAGCCCTGGTGGGTGGCTGCCCCGGCCCCCAGCCTGGCCACCTCCCACCTACCTGCGCGGCACCTCCTGGTCCCCATAGTGCACGGCGATGCTGTAGGGCCCCTCCCTGCTGGGCACGTAAGTCACCGTCTGGGTGCCATCAGCACTGCTCACCACGTCCACTGGCTCCAGCACACCTGGGGGGAACCAGGGTCAGGGGCTGGTGGACTCTGGGCTCCCACCCCCAGAGCCGACACTCACCTTTTTTGGGGCCCTGCACCTTGACCTGCAGGGGGGCGACGCCCGCCTGGCTGGTGTCCACAGAAAAGGACTGGGGCACGCTGGCACGCACGACGCCCGGCATCAGCCCTGGCCCTGCACACACCACCTTGGACGAGTCCACCACCTCCTGCACCGGCACCTGGAAGGGGCTCCCTGCGGGCAAGGCAGGGGAGACGGCTCTATGCCCATCCTCCGGCCCAGCTCCCCCACAGGAGCGGAGCACTGCTGCAGCCTGTGCTGCGTCTGCTCTGTGACCCGGGGTCCCCCCGCGCTGGGCTGTGCGATTCCCACTGACCCCCCACACACCTAGTCCCAGCCTGAGCCAGAAACAGGAGCCAGGACTAGCAAGATGGTTTATTAGGTGATGGGTTTTCGTGGGCCAGACCCACTTGCTCAGCCTGAGCGGGTAACAAGGGAGGGAGGCAGAGAGGGCAGGGCCTGGGACAGTGGCAGCTTCACTGAGGAGCCAGGCAGCCCCGGGCCCTGACTCCTGTAGCCACATCACGTCTGTGCTGGGCTGTGTCCTGGAGGAGCAACCACCCCCCCGTTCTACCGGCTGGCAGGGGTGCAGGATCTGGGGGTCCCTGACGTGCCATCAGGGGGGCTGTGGGAAGTGGGTTTGCTGGCAGCATGGTCTGGGGATCTGCAGTCACACGGTGGCTCTGAGCTGGGCTCTCCTGGGCCAGCAGCACGTCCCCGACCCACACGGGAGGCGCTTGGCTGGGAGCGTTCAGCCCAGCCTGGGGCCCAGGGCTGCTAAGGCCGAGTCAGGCCTGGAGGTACCTGCCCAGGGCCAAACGCCATCTGGGGAGGCGCGTTGCCCCAACAGACCGATGGGAGCCCCACCCCTGCGGGCTCTGC